TACTTATGTGCAGAGCGTTAGGACTGGATACCATCATTCGCTTCTGTTTCTTAATAAGTCTGCTGAGTCGCTGGGTCCTTTGAGCGCAGGTCAGTGGCTTCCCGGAGATCGGAAACTCGTCCTGTATCTCACCCTCGAGTTCGTCTTCGCTCCTCTCAACCGGCGAGCTCTGCTTCGGCGTAACTGTGCTCAACGGCACGGCCTTCGCGATCAGAGTCTCGCTTCGCACGCTCCAATTGGACCCGCCGTACTTTTTCATGTTCATCAGATCGCCAATGCTGCCTCTCACGCTGCTGGTGCCCAGCTGAAGATTCGTTCGCGACAACGCGGGCGAGTGCGGAAGGGATTCGGAGCATTTCTCCGTCGACTTAACAACATCCGGCAGAATCGTTTTGCTTTGAAGCTTGTCGAGATCCGACAGAGACGATCCTCGACGCATCCTCGCTCGCGGCTGAATAGTTTTCTTCGAGGCGCTCTCCTTGACGTCTTTTTCGCTGCGACTCACGCTCTTCGAATACAACGACGACTTCATAGCGGACAGACCCGCTTTCAGAGGAAACAACAATGCCCGTTCCATCGACTTCTCCTGAGCGTCCATCGTCTATGTATTTCACTTTTCACGACGTGTGACGTTTTAATCGTGAGACGTTATTTTAATAAAATAGCTCTTTTGTTCCGACCAGCATCGATGATTCAATCCGGCGGCATAAAACGTTAAATATTGTTTTTCCCCACACGAGTAACAAGAGTCGTTGTTGTTCTTGACATTTACTACGAATCAAGTGCGAAACTTTGTGTTACGAAGTCGTTAAAATACTGAAACGAATCTCGTCTGTGTTGCACACACATACACACACACACACACAGTCAAGGATATCGTATTCGCGATAGCGTTACGTCCGGTTCGTCGAGAACTTCCGCTTCAGTGCTTATCGGGTCACACCGTTCCACTACTCGCGCGTATTCGAATTACAGTTTTACAACAACTATATATACATGACATTGCATTTTCGCATCACGCGGAAGGATTTGTCAAATCATCTTCATCACCACAATCCATAGACACTCACTCGATGTCTTCTCTTTACTTTTGCATCTCTCTCTCTCTCTCTTTTCTCCATGATAATTTTTTTCCAATAAGCAACAAGTTTTTATATGTATGTACATTTATATATAATATTTTTTTCTTTGCGATATTTTTATATCTTAGACAACAACAATACACAACGCGCGAGTTTTATTCTCACATAGATCTTCTCTCCGTCGTGTATAACTTGCGTGCAAGAAAAAAGATCCTCTTTCGATCAGCACCGCGATCAGACTCGTGCTGAAAAGATCCGAGAGCGCGTGGAACAGAAGGAGGTGGTCAGTTTCCCTCAGTCGGACCACTCGGTGGTATTTTCACTTAAGTTAACACGACCCCCCGTGACGGACGTACCCTTTTGCGAGGGCATATACGACGACACTTCCGTCTAATAAAAGCCTAATAACGATCGATACGATCGCCCCGCCCCCTTCGGCGAAGCCGATTCGTTCAAGTCAAGGGTGTGCTTAACTTGAAGCTTGCGAAAGAAGAACTTTGAAAGGGAGACAACTTTTTTTTAAAAAGCGTGGGTGAAGTTTTCTCTCGACGTCAAGCTTCTTTTTGTACTACGGCGGCGACACACGCTTGTGGTCACCCGATGATTGACTGAGCGCTATACTGAATGATAAAACGTTCGGCTCGCGCGCTGACATACGCGCCAACTGCGATAAGCAAATGGCGGGAGGCGAGACCTTGCCGTCGAAGGTGATACCGATTTCTCGTCCGCAGACTCGCACATAAAGCCCATACGGGCTTCTGATTATAACGCGGGCCATCGGCTTGGCCTACATAGATTGTGCGCGTTCGAGGTCCTATCGCGGAAAACGCGTGTACACAATTTTGATAGCTTAATCGTTCGCGACACTAGTTCGAGTTTTTAATTTCGCGCGAGCGTGTGTTATTATACGCACCGCGCGGCAAGAAGAATCAATATATATCCTTGAATTCTGACGCACAGAACTTTCAACTATCATGATCATCATCAGAATAACTTTCTCCCGCATGTTGTACACGTGTAAATTTAATTAATACATAAATGTGCTATTAAACGTAATTATCTAAAATCAGTAGAAAATTTAGATATAATTTTAAAACACATGTATGGCGCAAATATGCGCGCTTCTTAACGCGCGCTCTTATATTTTACGCGGAATACGTTAATAATAACTTCGCGAGTAATTTATCACGAGCGAGCGCAGGGGAGAAGAAAGGAGAGTGGAGAGAGAATAGTGCGTGGAAACACGAAGGCTAAAATGAGGCTTTATCAAGCGTTCGACGGCGGAATGTAAAATTACGCGGCGAGCAGAGGAATCCGAATAAAATGCAAAGTGAGCGCAGCCGGGGCATAGCAACGTGCTCATCTTTACTTGAATAATAGAAAAAGCGGAGACGCGACGGCGAAAAATCCACCGCGACGTGCGTGTAGCCACGACGACGCTAGGTGTGTAAGCGCGTTGGCCACCTCGGCTGTCACGATCAAGTATAAAAACGTGTCTACACGTAAAAGCCATTTTATCAGTGAGAACAAGTAAGAGGAGGAAGAAAAATAAGCGCTCGGGAACTTGAGCTCTTGTAAATCGCTTTAGCTCGGTTCTTGGGAGCAACGTTGGAATTTCTTCGCCACCGAAATATATCCGACTGCGATCCGATCATTTTTCTCCCCGGCGCAAAGCGACGACGAAAAGAAGAGCGTGAAACAATATCAAGAAATACGCCGGGAATTATCGTTTCGCGAAATATCTTTCTGATATTGGCAACACACGCGAAGCGATAGCGGGGATTTTTATCGCGATCGCTGATATTTCGCGGATAATAATTCGCGGATCCGCGAGCACGTGACGTACTCGTGGAGGCCGTATATTCGGAGGGGAAACCCTCGCGCAACTTAACACCCAGGCAAATCGATCCTAATTGTTTTCCGGGAGGCGATTATTCTGCCGAGGATAGTTCTTCCGGCGGGCGTGTAAAACGACAAGAGTAATGAGAGAGAGAGAGAGAGAGAGTGAATGAGTGAATGAGAGCAACTCATTCGGACGGCGAAAACAAATGCACGAGGACACGCAAGGGCGTTAATTGAGTCTCGCAGTAACGGCGCGACCGAATTCGCGTTTCCATTATTTCCTTACTCTCGAAAAGAGTCGCGTTTCTCTCGCGGTATTCGTTCGTTAAATGGCGCGCGAACAATACGCCTCCCGAGTTTTTGCTGTTTTCGACGGTTTTTTTTCTCCCAACCGCATCTTTGACATGATTCCGTAACAGCGTTCGACGCAGCTGAGGCCTTTTTTGTTTTTTGTTGTTTTTTTTTTTTTTTTTTTTTTTAAATCAACAACCATTCGAACTGCTGTTGGTTGTGGCAATTACGGCACCGAGAGGTCGACCTTCCTGGCACGGTTTCCAGACCCGGGGAAACGGAAAACAAACAATCGCTTCGGCAACTACCTGCTCCGCCCCCGCCCACGGTTCCGCGCGAATTTACATTTTCCACCATCGCGGCTTTCAAAGTTTCTCGAGCATGTATATAAGATACATATATATACACATATATAGGTATATATACATGTATATCGACTGTCGTTGCGGGCTCTCCCAGAAGTGCGCCAGGTGCGTATACTCCGGCGCTTTTCGGGGCCGACGGGGACTGCGTTAATGGAAGTTTCGTGTAACGCCTAGGCGTTAATCTGGCGATAGGGGCGATACGAGACAACAAGTGCGACACTTTTAAGGCGGGCGACACCGAGACACGATAACGAGCACCGATAATTCGAGACGACGCTTTTATGTGTCGCCGGAACATTCGTTCGAGCACCTAAATCAATATGACGCGGTAATAATACATTTTGTGATCGGTCGTCGATTAGCTCGACGACAAAGAAATATTGGTGCGTGACAGAACACAAGGAAAACTAACAACCAGGTCTGTACGTATCGCGAAACGATAATGAGGAACAAATTATTGCAATGAGAGTAAAATGCGCTTGCTCGCGCGTAACGAGGAAAAACGACGGGAGAGAGAAATGCAATGCCACACACGTAATGCGCGTATGTCGTGACTCTTACGGTTATCATTTTGTTTCGAGAGAGAGCTCGGCGATATGATTGAAACGAACGTTTTTTTTTTTTCTTTTTCGGCGACCAAGCTATCGATGCGTCACGCGAACGATTATTTTTACTGGTTTCGCCGCATCCTTCTCGAAAAAATACGGCGCCATACGTTCACTTTCTTATCTGCATCGCGACATTTGTGAGATATTTGCGCACGGTTGTTTTTCACCCGACATATGCGCATGATGTAAGCCGGACAAGCCGTTTTTCTCTTCGCAAAAGAGTAATTTTCTGCCAATCAATAAAAGGCTCCGCCCGCGTTTGCATTAATGATAACGCGTTAATGAAAAGGCTGTCTTTGCCTTTTTATATTAATCGTTGTGACAGCGACGACGGACCCACGGGCAAAAAGTTTATGCAAATAAGACTTTGTCCACCTCTCTAACGTCATCTAACTTCGCCGCCTCGTTAAGTACATTCGATGGAGATTGATGCATTTCCCGGCGCGAGACCTATCGGCCTTGAGCAATTGACAAGCGAACTAGAGGAACCCGTAGCTTATTTGTGCGATTAATTGATGTTGCGCGAAGGTAATGATCGACAAGGCCACCGCTGTGGCTTTCACGAAGGACCACGACAAAATGCGGGCTGGCGGCGACGCCGGCATTTTTTCAAAGGTCGTCGTCGCGATCGTTGACCGCGGGAGTTCTTGACTGCTCGCAATCGAGGGTCGCGACCAATGATCATTTCGCTAGGCCGAAGCCAAGAGGTAAGTTTAATCATAGCTATGTATGTATTTACTGCATTTTTTTGTTCAATCAAAATAGCAAAAGTGACGTTAGTTTATTCTAATTCTTAAACGAATCGTACGTACGTTTAATTGCATGATGATCTGATTGTACGCCCAGTGCCATCGTTGCCTCGCCGTCATCTCCGGTCGTTCTTTCAGCTGCGTCGGCACCGGTGCTACCCCGACCATCTCCAGTAGTTCCTCGTCGGGTGGCGGTTCAGGTGGACTCCTTGGCGGAGTGTCCATCTGAACACTTTCCTCCAATGACGCCTGTTTCGTTATGCTCCCTAAAATTGAGTTACTCGCGATTAAGAAGATAATTAAATCACAAGTTGATTTTTTTCCTAATAATTAGTAAAATCTTACCGCGTGGACTTTCGATATGGGACAAAGGCGGGGTTTCTTTGTATTGGTCAATAAGCGAGTCCTCTCGAGAGTTACGAAGCAAGGCGTCATCACCTCGTTCGTACCTTTGGGGAAAAAACGAAAATTAGTATCTATATTTACACAACATTAAATAAAAAAAAAAACAACATGGAGATATAATTGTATTTCAATCTTGTACCTATCAAGAGTCTCGTCCCGCATCTGATAATCTCCGTTCACCGCGCTACCGAGAACGATGTCGCTTTGATCTATCGACTCCTGATTTTTGAAGTGACCGCGTTGCATACTCTCCTCTCTGGAAATAGGCTGTGGTGTGATGAAATTCTGTCCGTAATTTCGCTCCCTCTGCTGATACGAGTCGGTCCTGGTTAGTGGCGGCTTGAAGCCTTCCTGAGTGGACGAGAAAGATTCCTTTCTGGGCAGTTGTGCGTACGATTCCCTGCGACTGTAAGACTCCTCGGGGAAGTTGTCCGAAGCGTAGGAATCACCTCTGGTCAGCTTCGGCTTCTGCGAGACCGTCGAGTGTTGCGAGTGCTGACTGATCTGGCTCTGATGTGAGTCTTTTCTCTGAGGTTCTTTGGGAATAATCTCCGGATATTCCTCGTCCTCGATGATGTCCTCCTGATAGGAGTTTGTTCTGGCCAACGGTCGTTTGCCGTTCGCGATGCTCGTGTGTATCATCGCGGTGGTAGTCACATGGTTGGCCGTCACGTGATTGACCATCGTCGGCTGAGATTGAGCGACGTTCGGAGGAGACTCCACCAAGGTAGTGGCTGCGGGACTCGAGTCACCAGCCGTCGAATACTCGCTGTATCCTTTCTTGAGCTGACTGCTGGCAACGGAGCTCACGGCGGTCTCAAACGAGTCCTTCAGCTCGTCGTCTCTGGACTCGAGGGAGTCTGTGTTTTGCTGAAGAAGCGGACTGGTTTCGCGCTTGGCGCTGAGCTTCTTCTTCCTCGAAGTGCCCAATGACGACGTGTCTTCGTTTTCTTGAGACTGGTAGAGATACTCCGACTCGCTCGACTGGTAACCGTTTGTCCTGGTCTGACCTCTAGGCGTGGTCACGGAGAGCTCGGGCACCTCGCTCTGTCTCCTGTCGGCCACCGTTGTCGGAGTCTCCTTGTAACGCTGCTCCTCGAACGAATCTTGGTAAGAGTCTGGATATTCGTCGTACGGTTCTTGGTAATCCTGATAGGACTCCTGGTAATTATTCTTGTACGTCGTAGGCACGTCTTGCTGCTTACTATACGGCGTTTGATAATCTACGAAATTTTCCTGCGGCTGCTTCGCATAGGATTCCTGATAGTTATCCTGCGACGTAACAGGCACTTGATTATACGTCTCTTGATAAGTGTTCTGATAATCGGTCGACGTGTTGATATTGTACTGAGAGTCGTACTGCTCCGTCTGATATTGATTGTAGGTGTTCGTCACGTTATTCTGATCGTAGACGCTGGCGGGCACGTTGGTGACGCCGTAATTGTCGTATTGCTCTTGATAAGCGTCCTGTTGCTTGTAATCCTGTTGCTTGTAATCCTGTTGCTTGTAATCCTGTTGCTTATAATCCTGCTGCTTGTAATCCTGCTGCTTGTAATCCTGTTGCTTGTAATCCTGCTGCTTGTAATCCTGCTGCTTGTAATCCTGCTGCTTGTAATCCTGCTGCTTGTAATCCTGCTGCTCGTACTGAACGTTGTTCTGATTAAAGCCCATCTCTTGATAATTGTCCTCAATTATCATACCGTCCTGTTTATCGTACTGATTCTTCGCTTGATTGATGTATTGATGGTCGTTTGCCTGGCTGGCGGTCGGATATGTCGTGTTCGCGATCGGATATGTCGTGTCTCCGATGTACGACGCCTGATACACTTGGGTGTTCTGCTGCGCGTATGGTTGCTGGTACTCGTATGAGTTTTGCTGCGTGTACGCCGTTTGTTCGTAGCTGTTCTGCTCCGGATAGGAATACTGGCCGTCGACCTGCGTCGTATAACCGTATTGATTATCCTGATTCGTCTCGGGATATCGAGTTTTGTTGGGCACGATTTGATCCACCTGGCCACTCTGCTGTTGACTGTAAATGTTGTCCGTGTACGTGTCTTGCGGCAGATTGTCCTGACTACGGTAAGCGTAATTATAGTCCTCGTTGTAGTCAGACTTGTTGTAATAGCTCTCCTCGGAGGGCGTTCTAGTCTTTGGCAGTTGTCTGCTCGGCGTGGGGGGCAGAGAAACGACGAGCTTACGATTGATCACCACGTTGCTTGGCTTGGTCGGGGTCGGAGGTAGTTTCTTACCGGTGCCGCCTTCCTGTCGAGACGTCGGACGTTGCTGCGGCTGTAAGACCTTCCGGCGACGACTATTGTATCCACTTTAGAAAAAAAATAAAAAGCAAACGTTTTATACACTTTGTTTATATATAGTTTTATATTTACATGTATTTAGTATGTTTCGCGTTGTCTCGTGTACAAAGTCGAATAACAAGAATCGAGAAAAAGTTCTGCAACATAGTTTCCTAGGACTTGTAACTTACTTGTAATCGAGTTCTTCCGATTCGTAACTACGTTGTCTGGTAACAGTGGGTCTGTAATCCGGCCGGTGTATACCGATGCTCGAAGCTGGTCTTTGCGGAAGGGTCTTTCGTTTGTTTTCGTAGTACGTATTTGTTCCCAAGTACCCTCCGCTGTCCCACTGTCTGTCTTCGTCGTCCTGACCGTATCTGCGCGAGGAAAAGTAAGATAGAAGACTATTGTCTTCAAACAAACTACTTTATCGTTTTTCCTCCGCCGACATTTGCCCACGTTTGTGCTTACCTCTCATCTTGGTAAACGTAACCCGTTCTGGTGTCGTAGTATTCGTTATATCTAATATCCGTCTCGCATTCCGGGTACGTGGCGCTCATTTTACCCACCCTGCCGTCGCTGGCGTATCCATCAGTGTAATACGAGTGATCGTCATATAAGGTCATCTGCCTTTCCAGAGAGGGTCTTCTGTACGGAACTGCTTGGAAAACAGACAAAGATTGTACAATCGTTACAGTAGTTTCCCGACGACATTTTACAGCGCAAATATATAATAAACTTTAGAATGTACAAATAAAAACTCGATGTAAAATTTTATCTAACACAAAAAAAATTTGTTTGAGAATTTCTTTACTCGTTTGTGTTATTAATTTGCAAATTTACATTAATATACGAGCTTATCAATTAAAAAATAAATAAATAAAAAGTTTACTAAGGTTTACTTGACGCACACTGTAGTCATCGTTTTACAAAATTGAATATTTTACACACAAACACCGGAGAGTAAAACAAACAAAAGAAAAAAGAGGATTAAAACAAAAAGTGAGAGAAAAGAGCGAATATTTTATTTAGTAATTTGCAAAGCGTTTTAATTACGGGAGTTAATACCTTTTCCCGTCCGTCTTTTTGTAGTGGTCGTCGAGTTGTTTGAATAATATTCGGTATCGCTATAAATTCTCGTGTCGTCGATCCTCGTGCTGTGATAATCATAACCCTCGCTGTGCCAGCCGTCTTGGCTAGAAAACAAAAGATAAAGATTAGATCAATTGTGGCCACGTCAACAAGCCGAGAATGACATGATTCATGATAAGAAGAATCTTTGATCGATCTTCTTGAATGTGATCAGCCGGAACTACTAACTGCACCATGCAAATGCCTGTGAATTGGTAAAAAGGCGTTGCTTTGACTTGCTAATTGCTATCCTCACTAATTTTTTTTTTTGGTGTGGTCTTTAACTTCGCAATGATGTATCAAATTCTTTCTTGTTTTTTTGAAACTCGATAATTTGCAATTGCAAAGCCGCATACATAACAAAAAGCCGCGACAAACCAATAATTAATTAATTACAGAGGCATGAGTTTCTTAAATTTTTTTCTCTTTCTATGTACGTTAATGACTGTGAAAATAAGTGCTTGGCAATGGTGGCCTACATCATAACAAACGATTCGGTCGACGTAATCACCGCTGCGATCGATGAATTTGCAATTGCAAGGTTAATTAGGTGAGCGCAAACCTAATCGCAAAGCTAAAACCTAGCGTATATTGCGGCGTAATGCGCGAAAATATGGTGCTCTAAGTCGTAATATAATTAAGAAGAGAACAAAACGTGATGGATGAAGTTGATAATCGCGTGAGTGTATGTATATGTGTGTGTGCTGTTAGGAGTCACTGAAATTCTCACGAAACCGCACGAAGCCGCGCCTCACATCGTACCTGTCCTCGTAATCCCACGTGTGCTTCCGTCGTCTAAATCAGGCAAGAAAATAATCAACGGTTTTCTTCCATCGTGTTAAACTTAATTATTTTAAACACACTTACATGCGCAAATGCGTACATACACAAATGCTAGTACTTTTCTTTCGTTTTTTTTGCATACAACAGTGTGTCGTAACGTTAAATTATAATTATAATTATAATAATGATAATAATAATAATAATAATAATAATAATAATAATAATAATAATAATAACAACAACAACAGAGAACTCGCAAACGTGTGTGTTTTCAGCAAGTTTTAATTTATTTTACACGCTCTAATGGAGCGAAAGATACACCGAGTTGTGAAATTTCTCGCTACGTCCTCACGCGCATTACTCAGTAACGTACCTGTACTCCTTATAGTGCTTTGGTCTACTGTTGTAGAAGAGCGGCTCGGAAGACTCTGAAGGGTGCTGCTGGGTCTGCAAGTATCTCTGCGATAAACCGTCCTCCGGGTACGGCTCGTCGTACCTCGGACCATGGATTGAACCTCCGTAACTTCCGTAATTACCAGGTGCCAGTCTTCCTGCGACGGTGACTGGAATCTAGCGAACGTTATCCTCTTAATGTATTATCTCTGTGTAATTAGCGACGTCGCCGACGGTGAGATAAGCGAATTAGAAAAGTCAATCGCTCGAATAATAGAGCCCGGTCTCTAGCCGTTTGCAACGCGAAATTACTCGGAATTTCTTTACAACATCATTACAAATCGACAATTTGATATTAGAAAGGTTAATAAGAGACCAAAACAGATCTACACGCGTAAATTATTCGATTCGCGATATCATTATCTCAACGGATTGCGAGTTGCACCAAAGAGAATTCACAATTAGAGTTTTAACGTTTGCTCGTGGTGTGTTGTTCTTTGAAATCAATAATTTGCGCAATTGACATACGTTCCCTCGTGACTTTTCTAAATATCCAATTGTTGATTTATGTTAAGATCGAGAGGTCAAGTAAAGTTTTTTTAACACACATTACGTTGTTTACGAAATATATCCGTACGATTCGAGCGATCAAAACAACTCGACAAACAAGTTGTTGTTCGCAAACTTTTTTTTCCCTGACGATATTCCACGTCGTCAATACCTGATGATCGTCTCTCTCGTAACTATTCTCTCTCGACGTCTCGAGCGATCTTTGAGGTGTGGCCAATTGGTTGGCCGCCGTGCGAAACTGCGAGGCCGAGCTGTTCGCACCCTGTCCACCTACTGGATAATTCAAGTCCGACGTGTAGTCAGAATCCTCCGAGTAGCCCGCTGCAAGATATAGATTATGACACACGTTTTTTCACGGAAAAATTATCGCCGCGCGAAGTAAAAAGTTTATATATATATATATATAGTGACGCGAGTGGCCCTATGACAACTTCGCAATGGGATATCGAAATATGTCGCCGCTCTTTCTGCAACGTTGACAAGAAAAATCATTTTTTTATGTATCTGCAAGTGTTAGAAAAACACAAAATGCAACTAAGGAAAATTAATGAGTCATATATCGAACAGCGCTAAAAATGCAAACTATTTTCCAATGAATTCCTCAAGTTTTTGTTTTGGTTTTTTGATTTTTAGTCTCGTGTATTCAACGAAACAACACGAGAATCGATTGTATATATGTATATATATTTCGCAAAAATGCACGTTTACATGAGAATCGTGACTTGGCGGTTCGAGGCGATCGTTTCCTGAATAAAACGTGGAGCCAATTTCAACTTCGTCGCAATGATAGTTTCGCAACTTCCCGCAGACAAAATTGGTCGATATTGGTAGAATCCGGGAACTGAAGTGGTGCAATATAGCAGGAAGCAAGATAAGTAATAGTTAACAGCCATGCGACAAATTGATCGTTATATATGTATGGGCACCGGTCTCGATCTCGTCTTTGATCTCGTGTGTCTTTTCGCCGGATATGGTTGGGGAACCGATGGGAAATGCAAAAAACTTTACTTATATTATGATGGGTAATATGTGGGAAAATGGTTTTTGCAAAGAACATAGAACGAAAATATCGGCCAGACATCAACGATTTGTTCAGTACAGAAAGAGAGAGAGAAAGAGAAAGAGAGAAAGATAGCTACTCTGCTACATGCCTTCTCATAGCTGTTACACGGACTAAGGGGTTGCTAAAAACGGGGGAGTAACAAACGGTGGTAAGTTACCGACGAATACGTCGATAGCCGATAACACATATATATGAAATGGCGTCTCGTATGCCTTTTTCTCTCCAGAGCACCTTGCTAACATATACTCTCTGTGGGTAAGACAACGGCGTTGTTACAACCAATCGCCGGTTGTCGGGATCTTAGCACGGAATCAAATTGATTTCTCGCATGGAAAAAAAAAAAAAAAAAAAAAAAAAACGGGCGTAAAAGTTTTATGACTTACTCGGAAGTGTAGCATTCAAGCGAACGACCTAGAAAGCCACGGTTTCTAAAAATACTCCAAGTATGTCAGATGTGTGGATGAAAGTGTTGTGTGTGTGTGACGTAGGCTGCAGCGAATTAATGTTCACGAATGTGAAATGTGTACCGCTGGTATTATTTCGTATGTATGTATGTGTGTATGTATGTGTGTGTTGTACGTGTATATTTCGCATAACAATTCAATCTCGTCGCGTATCGTGATATCTTGGAATTAAAATACGAAGTATAGCGAGTAGTGACGGTCCGTGAATGGTGGTACGAGAAGTATATCGCGAGTGGTAAGAATGCGTCATAGATCAGCCACGGTAAGTCGGTAAGAAGAAAATTAATTCGATATATCCGCGCACACCTTCTCTCCAATGGGATCCGAAATAATTTAATATCCGTATTTATTATCTCTTTTATCTCAGGATCGATCTTAAAAAATCTCGCGATTTCTCTCGCTTTCTCGACTTGCGCCGGGACGAGAACGTGTTTCATTTATTCGAATTTGTTTCGCGAATTAAATTTCCTCGGAGGTAAAGAAAAATCAATCCGCCGGCATGTCGCGAGTGAGCCGGCGGATGAGAAATAAAATCTGCAATCGGGGAAACGTTTCTCTCTCTTTTTTCTTTTTTTTTTTTTTTTTTTTTTTTTACACCCGCCGCAAAGAGCATTCGTATAAAAATTATCAGTCATCTAAACTGTAACTTTTGACGGTACTTACAGTGGCCTATATTGTACAATATCTGCCTTCGTGCCTGTTCGGCCCGCGCCTCCTGGTCCATCATGTTGTTCAGCATTTCCAGCTTCCTCTGCAGATCGGCCGCTTCCGTGTTCTCGGGGTCTTTCGAAAAGATAGATATCGATGGGGAAACAGTTAATCGCGAGTCTCGATAATCTCACGTCTTCAGTCGATCTGTCATCCTAAGTTTTTACTTTAGATACGTACGAGGAGTCTCGTAAAAAAAAAGAAATATAGAATCAAATGAGTAAAAAACAAGAAACACTGCGTATATCGTGTCTACCATAATATTTCACTAGTAACATCTAACGAGCTCGCGACGAGAAAAAACAAAATATAGGAGATTTTACATTCGTACAAAACATATTATTTAGAAAAATTAACGCTATTCAATCATTAAAACGTCTTTTATACATATATATATATATATATATATATGTATATATATATACACATATATTCGTATATTCTTCTATTTAACTGCTAAGTGTACGAGAGTACGGTCCATTCATTTCGTGTTTCGGGATGTACACATTGCTCGAAAATAGCAGAAATCTCTCGGTAAAGTGGTCTGGAAAGAGCAATCTACCAGATTACTCTGTATAAATAATATCAACCTTTCCGCTCCCTCAAGCTCGCGAGAGAGAGAGAGAGAGAGAACGCGCGCGCGCGCGTGCGCTCGTTCGCGCATGTGTTGCGCTCAATCATAATTACATATTGAACCAACAAACTCCAGGGAGGGGTTTGCAAACTTTATCAAGCTGCGACAACGCGACTCGCCGCTTCCAGGTAGAGCTCAGGCCGATTTATTACGGGACTACCTCGCCGAGCTCGAAGCCAACTACTCCATTCCAGCCAACAATCTTGCTACTTCTCTGACGATGTTAGAAGATACTTTCTAGTAGAAAAGGACAACGCGCCGTGTCGGCGCGGCGTTTGCTCCGCGCGCACGCTGAGTGCATCAATTTCCCATCCTTCGCTTTTGCATCCTCTCTCGCTTTTCCATCTTGCATCTAAGAACAGTGCCGCTTACAGAGAATTTCGATCGTCTGCTTAGAACGTGACAGACGTGTACACGCAGCTCTCTCTTAGATACTCTCTTGACGTCTTCTCCGCGTTAACTCAAATTGATTACTACAATTTTACTGGCGTCTTCTTTGCCGCGCGTCTTTTTTTTACAGCTTTTTAATTTTGCAGATTTATATAACCGTCATCTTGTACAAAGGGGAATTTCTATTAATTCAGAGTTTCCCTTCTGTAGTCGTTAGACTTTCGAAGTAATGACGAAATAATTCGCACGCTGCGCGCGACCTTTGTACGCATACTTTGCATTTTCGTTTTACGCGGGACACACACATTATGAGGTCGTTACGTGTTCCCTCCCTTTCGCTTAGCGCTGCTTCTGCGCATTCAGCGAAGCAATTTCTGCTGAATCTTGGCCGTCGTTTGGGTGTCGCAGCTCGCAGCTGTGTGTCGTGGAGAAACGTGTTTGCCGGCGCCGTTTTCTTTAGTCCGCTTCTGTGGGATGCAATTAAAAAAAGGGTCAAGCTTTCCTTAGAGGAAAAGCGGCGTCGTGCGAGCACCGTCTTCCTTCCTTTGAGAACTGCCGCGCGCCTGCCGGTCCGCCGAGGGTTTCGGTCCTACCTCAACCTCGATACCGTTGTCTCTCGAGCCACTTCTTCTGGTGACTTGTTCGTTATTATTCGTCCCGCGACCAAGCGGGCTCCATTCCGCCCGCTTTGCACGCAAACTTCGCGTCGTCTCTTCCGTAAATACGGAAAAAGCGCAATCGTCCTGCGTAGCGCGAGGAAAAGTTGAAACAAAAAAGAAAAAAAATAAGTTATCTCGTACACTTTCAGACACGCCTTTTTTGCGCCTCCTCTCCTCTCCCGCATCTGTCTCGTATTTTCAAAACTGAACGCGTGGAATAAATATAACGTTGTAACTGCGCCGGTAATGGCGTGACAGTAACAGCTGGTCGTCCATATATTGACAAACTTTGAGCTACGACGGTGACGCGCGCGTCGCAAAAGCGGAGGCGCGCGTCTCACCTCTTTCTCTTTCCCCTAGTCCGAAAGTGCTTTCCTCTATTTCTGCTCCGTTTGCTATTTCCTTCGTTCCTTTATCGAGGACGTCACTCACCTTCGAGCGGCTAAATTAGGAACTTTGACATCGATATCGCGGCCGAACATAATTGACGATTTCAACGACGCGAGTTGATGATCGCGAGTTTCGCGTTTGAAGATAACTCGTCGAATTATGTTCTAAAAAAATCTTTTCGCGTATTCTCGTTTTATTTACGTGTAAGTTAAATATCGCATGCAATATTTAACTTAAATTAGTATGTATGAGACTCGCGTCTTTGATTCTGTGTGATGCAAGCTACAGAGCGGGGGCGTTCTTCCGGAACGAAGTGGTGTGTGTTGTACTTCTCTTGCGAGATTCTCAAAGAGAAACGAAATAAATTTCACACAATAGAAACGCCGAAACCGTGACGTTCCCACCCTCTTCGTGTACTCGCGCGCCGCTCGAAGGAATTATACCAACGGTTACCGCGCTTCTCAAGCAGATTCTATTGATTCTGTTCCCGACTTAAAAGAATCACTTCAGCCGACTTCGAATGGGCGGTTTGACGTCTCTCTCTCTTCGCGGCCTCTAAACGATCGAAAAGATTTTCCACGTCAATATACGGCTCCGTAAGAAACACTTTAAATGTCTCTCTCTCTCTTTTTTAGACGAGGAGAGTTTCTCTGATATTTTATCGTCCCGTTATCATAAAATTTTGTGGAAAAAAAAACTAGAGGGAAGATATAATTTAAAGAGATAAGAGAACCGAATTCAATCAAACACAGCGTAATATTTCGGTATTATTTTCCAAATAGTACTCGACTGCTGAGAAATACAGAAAACTTGTTTTGAGATTATCTCATACGAGAGAGCGCGTTTCTCTCAACAACAAAAGTGAATCGGGATTCGAACGCGGGTCGCCTTATACGGTGAGGATTTACCGACGAGTTAAATCCCCCCGGAAGGTCGTCTTCATTCTACTCATCACCCTCTGTCTCCTTTATCTCTAACTCCGGTATATCCGGTTTGCCTGTTCGTGCTCGGGCCTCGTACGTGGCTAGGCAGGAGCGTGTAATTAGTCCATTTCGTATGTCTGAGCTGCGCCGTAGGCAGGAAAATCGGATATACGATCGCGCGATACGTGTCTCGCACATCGAATGTTGGCTAGAAAACTATTTCCGTTTTCTGGGCAAAGAAAAATAAAGAAATAACATTTTCCTCTTCGAATAGAAAGAGCTGTTTCTGTTCGAGCAATATGTACACGCCCACACACACATCACAGTTATTCATACAAATCCTCTTTAAAAATTAAAAAAGATCAAAAAATATATATATATGTTGTACAGTTTTATAAAATAATAACTCTTTAGCATGTTTTCACATTTTCAAATGAAAATTTGTGTCGCTAATAAACATCCGTGTGCACACTGTGTGTAGTCACCCTAGCACAACACGAAGAAAAGCTTCTAGAGGAACTGAATAAACGAACAACTTATCTCTGACGCTCTTTTTCGAAGTGTCTCTCTCGAAAGTACCGTGTGAATGTCTTCATTGTGCGAGAGAACGGTCGCGAAGGGGGAAAAAAGAATAGGTACATACTTCACGATGCTTGCTCATGCTTGAATAAGATTGAACTATATGAGGGGGAGATTTTTTTCGCCCGTCACACCGCGCGAAAATGAAATTCAACGATGGACAGTGTACTAACCACTAATATTGGCATTGCTTCCCCATCGTGGTTTGTTTGTGATTCTGACGTTAATGTCACTAATAATGCCACAGCGCAAACTTCTCGGTGTAACTAATTACAAGAGATATACACAGACGTATAATTACGTACATATATATA